GTTGAAATACAAAAATTTCCGATTATGGAGAATTTAAGAATTAAAAAAATATGCGTAATACGATTTTTATATAACTTTACATATATTATAAAATATATAAATATATTTATATATTTTATAAATTATAAAATACAAGTATAGATAGATTGTATAATATATAGATAGATTGTATATTTAAAACTATATTAAATGTATTTTTAATTTTTACTCGATATAATTCATCTTATATTAATTAATTATACAAAACTATTAATAAATTCTTATCTTCCTTCTATATAAACATCGATTACATAATATGATGATTGAACAAATAATTAAGTTCAGATAATATGATATTTATAAGTAATACTATTTTATTGATACTATCGGTAATACAATCATTGTAAATATATAAAACAAGTTTTCATACTATAAAAAAGTAATTATATTATTATATTGATATTATTTTACATAATATTAAGCATTCAAAATTTGTTTTCGATAACATTATGTGCATTAGGATATTAATATATGTTTACATAATGTATGGAACGTTTGAAGAATCGATTCTAGAAGTTGAGACAAACACAAAAGTTGGTATATAAAAATGATAATTGAAATTTATTAACTTTTAAACAATTCTATTAATAAATAATTTATTAACTTATTTATTAAGCTATAAACAATTTTTAAGTTCATATTATATGAAGTGAAATGAAAATAAAGTATGACAGATATAATGATGACAGAGCTTCACTTTCTTTTTCTCTTCTCTTTTTTTAAAGAGAAAGCAAATTTCAATTGCTTTTTGCTAACTTTATAAATAAGTCTTAACCAATAGTTTTATATAAAATTTGTACTTATTTTATTTAAAATTGTTTTTATATTTTTAAGATTGAGTCTTTAATGCTATTTTAAAAGTTATATATTACGAATAACATTTTACATTTATATTTAGTTTTAAAATTTTTATATATTTAAGATGATATGATTTATATCATATTACTTTTTGTCATATTACTATACAATGGGATATTTGCATTTATTGAAAAATTGGACAAAACTATATAATTATATTATATATGTTATATTATATTATATATATAATTATATTTATTCAAAATCTGTTTCTAAACTATCATAAATTTATTTCATCTTTTTATTTTTCGATATTTTAATCAACATTTATCAAATTAAGTTTCTCCGAATTATAAAAATTTCTTAATTATAATCTTTATTAAGCTATACATAAATAATATTTTTTTATTTTTTAATATATAAATTATTAATATTTATATATACCAATTATGTAGTTATCTGTATATAGACAATTTTAAAAATTAAATTTCTTATAGTTCGAAGAGCAAAGTCCATCAATTTGTTTTATATTTTATTATTCAATTTATATTTTATAATTGTATAACTCATATTCTATTATTTTTCATTATCTTAATATCTAAAATTTTTCGAAAATATTTTAAATATGTATTCGATAAATTAACAAAATACTAAAATAACAATAATTCAATATGATTACGGATAAAACAACGTTTTTAACAAAATTTTACGAATTTTATCATTCAAGAAAAATTTTGTCTAATTCAAGAAGATTGCACATTATTTTCGCGATAAGAATCTGTTCAACTTCGATCTTTCTCTATATTGCGAAAGATCTATATTACGATTGGTTCGCCAACTTCCGCATATATAAATCACTATTCATGGGAACGATCTGTCGTTGATGGAGCTGTTGTATATGCTGTTTTCACGCTGAATTTTTCGGGTGTTTTTCTTTCTCTCTTTCATCACTGGTTTCGTGCAAAATATGCCGAACACGTAATTTACGTCTACCAATGTAAATGACCATGCATGAAGTTTCGTCGTTCGTTGGAACATATGCGAAACACGATACACGAACACGAATACACGACTGTGCGATCGAATCCGCGCAAAAATGTGATTTCACTACATTAGAAATTAAAACTATGTAACATGCATGTCTGATATTTCTGTTTGTATGGTGAATGAGAACCAGAAGTTATTCCTGTGCTTAGGAGGATATAAAAGTATATTGTTTTACATTTTCTTTTATATTTGTTTGTTATATATATGTTATATATTGTTATATATATGTTAATATTTCTATCTGATATTATAATGTAGATAGTTAAATTAATTATCTTGAACATTATAAAATCAGAATAATTAATAATATATGATTCTATAATTTATTTTATGAAAAGAATATAGATATTAATATTTTTGATTTAGTTTTCATCTATTAATTAATTTATATTCTTTTTTATTTTAGCAATAAGTAATATTAAGATGATTCATATAAATCAAATTCGTAATTTATTCTAATTAATGATAGTAGATTAAAATATATATGAGATATATGTAATAGGTATTTTATCTATATTTGAAGCTAAAGTTAATAACATTAAAATATATATTCAAAGAGTTTTATTTTACAACATAAAGTCTCTTCTTTTTATAAATTTTAGCAAAAATAAATAAATATTGCTAAGTATATTAAATGGATTCTTAACAAATTTTTCAAAATGTGACAATTTTTTAAAATTTTATAAAGGTAATTTTGAAAAGATAATCATTTCCATCGACTTTTTCTAAATGCTTTGATGATAACGATAGAAATAAATGAGCTTAATCGAATGGGTTTCATCTTGTTCATTTTGAAGGTGAAGAGACAATATTTCTAACTATATTTCGTTGTATTACAGATGAAGTTTACATATCCTGCGGTTATTTGTTCAAAAGTAGCGTTACCATAGTTGCTTGGTGATTCTTGTGTAATTGCATTTTAAACTTGAATCTTGTTCAAAGAATTTTGCATAAGAGAAATTTTTCGTACGTTAATAGGTTTATTGAATTCTGTGTTAATGAAAATAAATTGTTTACTTAATGGTTCTTTTGTTCAAATAAAGCAATATATTTACATATTTATAGACTTATATAGATAAGAAGAAGAGAAAGATGTATGATATAAATATAATATATATTATATATATATTATTTATGAATTAGATACTTTATTTTTGTTTTTATAATTAGTGATTTTTTTATTATTGTACCAATTTAACGAAAATCAAATTAAATTGAAAAAATCAAATAAGAATTGAAGGATTTCAATGTTTATTCTAAAAATTTTAAAAATAGTTCAATTCAATATATTTTTAAAAATAATATATTTTTTTAGAAATAAAAATTTTAATAAAAATAAGAAATATTTCAATTTATATATTGTATTTTATAATAAGATTTCGTAATATTTTAATGAGATTTAATTTTATAAAACAAGATGTCGTTACTTTAAAAATATTTTTAAGTATTTTGAATTCTGAATAAAGTAATAAATAAAAATAATTGCTGAATTCCGCGATTTTGAAATGATCAAAATTAAAAACCAGTAATTATGATGCAATAATTTAATAACATATTAAAATAATATGTTGCAAGAAATCAAATTGTCTTCCGTGAAAATAATTCATATTATGGAAATTTTCCTCTATTCTTTTTCTATACTTTCAACTATCGTATTATACGTGCAAGTTAGAATTTCACACTGCAAACATTTTGCTTCATCAGATCAAGCGTGTACGTGTCAAATTGATCGCAGTCCATTTTCCAACGACATCCATAAATTGATATGTGTCCGAGATGTATTCCATCACATTGACATATCGGTACAGTTACATAATTCGACATTTCCTAACTGCTGTCACAGCGAAAATAGTGCATCTCGTAATACCATCGTAATGTACATATATCAATCATCGACAGAAAGTAATAAAACAAATAATGACTTTAGTCAGCAAAAATTATGAGAACTTTACTTTGTTTGTCAAGTCATTTAAAATTCACTTAAAATTTTTTTCAAGATGATACGCAATAATACTCAATTTTCAGAAATAAAATATACGATGTTGCTTGGTTTGGTAATTTAGAGTTAATTATGAAAATCAATAATGACGAAGGATTTTCGAAATCTTCCTGCAATTAATAATTTTTTTTTACAAATTTTTTTGTAAGAAATGTCAATTTGAAAATCAATTCAAACCATAAAAATTATATTATATTTAATTAGTAAATAGTTCATTGATATTTTTTATATATTAAAAAAATAACTTGTTACAATAGAGTAAAGTTTTAAATTAATTAATTGTGATTATAATGATTATAAATTGAAATAGATCAAGATATATATAGATATAATCAAGATATTGAATAAATAAATGATATTTTTAAGAATTAAACAATAATAATATTAGAGTTTTTGAATTTTATTGTAATCCTTTAAAGGTAATTTGTATTTTCATAATTATGATATATTTATATTTTCATATTTATGTAATCATAGACATAAAGAAATGAAGTCTAAATGAACTCTATTTACTTTGACTATTTGAATATATAATAATTGACTTTTATTTTACATAATTTTGTATATTTTACATTTACTTATGTCATATTTTTAGTAATTATATATATTTAATGTTTAGTTATTTTATATTTTGATAATTATAATTATATTACATACTATAAATCTTACCTTTTTAATCCCTAATCGAAGATAATTTCTTTTAACAATGAATACAATAATGTAACGCATAATAAATAAAAAATAAAAATTAAGTTTTCAAAATGAAATATTTAAATTTATTTGTAATAAAATCCTAATATATTTTAATAGGTTTCATATTAATAATCACTAGAATAATTAACGAATATCAATCATTAAAAATGCCAAAATACATAATACTTAATGTTAAATAAAATTTTACCATGTTTTTCATAAAGCACGAATATCCCCAATACGAATCACAAGAGATTCTTCGAGATATCAACATAGAAATTAGTAATTTCTAAATTTCTTTCATATCAATATATGCCACAAAAGGCAATGTACTTGCGACCTTGCAACGTATTGGCGTCCTCGACATTCCCGCAGGATGAACACAGAGGTGGGTAGCGATAGACGCGCGATTGGCCGTGGCGAAACGCGCGATCGGCTCGATGGACTTGTCTGTGAACAGCCGCCACTGCGTTATCATCGTCTTCGAACGCTCGCGTGTATCCCATGTTTATTTACGAGTGACACTAACATTCCTCTTAGTCGCGACTCGGGTCACGAATAGAGTATATTAGCGGGTCTTCGTGTAGAGAAATGCATCGACCAAAAGGGAAAGGAAAGGTGTGTGTATATTTATCGGTGCTTTGGTGATTAATACATTTGTTACCATTGATTAGAGAAATCATGTATCGATTAAGTAATTTTATATAATAATATATGAAAAGTAGAATGAAGTGAAAGTGTTGTGAGAAAATTTATTTCATTACTCTATATACAAGCATCTTTATAGAAAACAATAGGATTTCATGTATAATGAAATCTATGTCGATCAAAAGTTTGACTATATATGCTTTTATTATTTATTAAAATATTTTTAAATTTTAATTAATTAAATTTTAATTTATAACATAAATTATTTTTCTTTGTTTATATATATAGAAATGGGAAATTATCAAAATAATTTATTCCTTATCTTTAGCTTAATTTGATTTTTTAGTTTGATTTTTTTTTGCGATTGCAATCTTTATTCTGATAATTAAAATTTTTACCAATATCAGAAGAAATATGTTTAAATAACAATTAATAGAAGAAATAAAAAATAAATAAAATTGAAACTAAATGTCCATTATAGATGTATAATATTTTAAACAATATTGATTATTACAAGAATTTTTTATATACAATTAAAAGAAAATATTGTTATTATATATTTATAATGAAAAATATTTTCAAGAATATGCAAAATTATATATTGTAATTACTATATTAAAGTTTTCAATTTGTATTTAAATTTTTCAAAACTAGTATCTAAAATCCTTTAATTATACTTATAATTGCTAGAAAAAATTCTTTTTCATCAATTATTAATAAAAAAAAATCTTTTTATGATATTTTTATATAAAGAAAAAACATAGCATACACAAATTTATTTACTTATTTTATGATTGAATAAAGTATATATTATTATTTATTTCATGTCTAATTAAAGTTATTATGTAACATCGTGTATGAAAAATTAAATGTAGAATACAAATGCAATTGATGTATGCAAATTTTTAATTATTAATGTATATATATAAATTTAAAAAGCCATAAACAATGATAATTACTTCCTATAAATTAATTAGAATATAATATAATAAAGCATGATAACGAACATGATAAGGAACAAAACAACATTTCGCAATCTAACGAATCCTCGATAGTCAATGTTCTTTTGCGCGGCAATCGAACAATTTCTAGTGTCGCAGTCTTGCGATTACTACCTGTTGATCATTTCGTCGACACTTCTCTATTATAAAATATATAGATCATCTGGTATCGTTAATTCATTTTGTTCACTATAGTCGATATAATGCAGTGATTGTTGATAAATTAAATATTATGTATGTATATCTTGATAAATTTGAGATAATTATGCATAGTTTTCGTATTGGAATAAGTTAAATTTCCTAAAAATAGAGCAGCGCTTATGTTACTTTGAATTGAAAATTTTTTACGGTGATAAATCATTGATTAGTTTTTCAGCGAAATTGTGAAAAGTTGAATAATGAAATAAATTGTGTGAAAATTTCTTTGAGATGGAGGGTTAATTGTTGACAGAGTGTATGTTCTTTTATTAATTAGAGAAAGCACCACTTTCGTTTTGGATTATTGTTTATTCAATAATATTTACATACGTATTTGGAATGGAAATTCAGAGAAATTCGAATACGTGGAACAGAATATTTTTCGTTGAATTTTAAAATCAATAATAATTGTTCACATGATACTGTTTATTTTCAGTAGATATATACTTTTAAATGAAATTTCATCCTTATTATTTAATATGTATTATTGTATATTTAAATATAGGTGCTTAGTGATCAGAATAATTAATGATTAAGTTCATCGCTGCCACACTTTGTTTCGAAAACATTTATACAACTACTTTCACTTTTATTACATTTCGAATTAACCTTGAGTCAGTTAAATGGAATCAAAACCTATTTAGAAATAATTCTGATTCATCTATTGAATGTTTTTCAAATAAGAAATTTATAAAATTATCTTTATTATTTCCTATTGCTCAAACTTTTGGGTTTATTCAACTTGTCCTTGATATTGAATTATCCAAAATCGATTCACAGAAAAGAGTTACGCAAACTGTGGAAAGAAGATCCGACTATTGGATCTCGGAATAATTTTCTTTGGAATATAAACATCTTATTATATCTCGAACCTGTTCCTCTTAACTGACCGTGAATATATTCTTTTCTTTTTTTCAAGTTCAGCATAAATTAAACTCTTATTTTTTCTCTCATTAACAAAAACTAAATTTTTTTCTTTTTCTTAGTTATGACTAATCTAGAATTTTTGTGCAAAACATATTTATCATATTATATATACATGTATATTGTATTTAGCATGTTTTACATAAGCAACATAAATACTTATATTCTGAAACAATTCTATTTCATTAGAATCAGGTTTTGAGATATAAAACGATATTTTTTTTCTTTTTTGGATTTTTATATAAAAATATATTTTTATATAAAACTATTTTTTATTTATCATGCAATTTATAATAAGTAAATATAGATGTTAAAATTATTGATTTTTTTCAAATGTATTAATCGTATATAATTTATATTTTAAATGCGAAATATTTTAATAATTATAAGATCATTCGAGATTATTTGCGTTATTTTTTTTTTTTCGTAATTTGATAACAAGATAAATCACTTATCTTGAGACAAAAATCTATCAATCATCTAATTCGATGTATTGTATATAAGAAAAACAGTTATTCATCTCAAGGATTACTGGTATTCAATTATTGCAACATATACATCTATGAATTATTATGGAATCAGAACAGATGAAAAAATCGAATACATATTGCGTTATGGAATTTTCAATTGCGCGATCATCATGATAGATGATGCAGATAAATACTATCAAATGATTTCTATCAAATGATTTTTTCTTGCTATATTTTTGTTTTTATTATAATAATAGTATGTATGCAGATATAATTATATCTCTTTGCAATATAATACAATAAAATATAAATAGTGCGAATTGTTTCTTTAATTTATAGATTATATATATTATTGTTTTTATAATTAATAAACATATTAATATTTGTTAAGAACGAATATTTATTTTGATATTGATTTAGTTACAGATATATTCTAATTATAAATTTAAAATTATAATTTTTTCAAATATTGTTAATTGCAAATATTCAAATCATATTTGATGCTTTGATATAATTTTTTTCAATTTGGATTTTTTCTATAAATTTCATTATTTATTATTTTTTATTTTTATTCCGAAATTGTTGTAAATAGGAAACGAAAATAGAATTTGATAATCAATTATATTTTAATTATTATTATAATTGATTACAAAAAATAATCATACTTATCATAATTATTAATCAAGTAATCATCATAAAGATTAATCTAGTAATTTTTAAAACAATATTTGTAATCTATAATCATTAATTATAACAATAATATTTCTTATATATACCGATATATATAATAATGTACAAATATGTTACAAATTATCGATTCAATCATAATCAAAACTATAATTATTCAATCATAATCATGATTAATGATTATTAAATTAATTATAATCATTGATTATATTATTGATTGTTTATTGATCAATAATTATGATTAATAACATGATTTTGCATTAATTATTTTCAATTATTATAACCAGATTATATTTTGTCCAAATCTGATTGTAAATATAAATAATTTTAATAATTTATTCTTTTTCATAGATTTTACAAATTTATTATTTATTATTATCATTTTACATTTTTAGATTTTATATTTTTTATTAATTTTTTAAATTTTATGGATTACATTATTGATTTCATAAATTTGTAGTTTATGATAATAAATGGAGATAAATCAATATATATTTTTAATAAATGCTTGTATATAAAATACATACATGTACAGTATTATCTTTCAAGTGACAAAAATTTTACTTTGCTATTTAATTATTAATTCCATTTGTTAAAAATATTTCCTTAATGATTCGAGATATCTTTTATATAAATAAGATTTAAGATTTAAAAATTTATGATATTACTATCTCATTAAGTTGCAATAGAATTTCTCATATTAACAATTATTTTAGATTCTGTTATGCTAATTGGATTCAATTCAGATACATAATCAGTTAATAAAATATTTCTATTTTGATATAAGATTTTAATGTTATAATTTATAATGTAAAATCAATTTGATATAACATAATATAATTTCAATTATTTTTTTCAATTAATTTTCAAGCTTATCTTCGATGTTTTATCATCATATATATTCTTATTTTTTTCTATTACTTAACAGATATTGTTACGAATACAAAACTTTAATAGAACTTTAATACATTAATTAAGAAATAAAATAATTGAGATAATCCAATATACATAACACATATATTCTGTTTCATATTTATAACACGTTTAAAAATCTTCAATTAACAACAATATAATTTCAAATATACATAATAATTTCTATGAATTAATCATATTATTGTTTTTGTACTTTCAAAGAAATTGCTTTTGATCTTCTAAAAGATTAAAAGTTGGTAATTGAAATGAATATCTTCATTCATTAATTATTATATATATGATTTTTATCTATAGATATAACATTTTAAATTAATATTTTAGAATTGTATTGAATTTATTAAAAGCAATTAATGAAATCTAGTTATCAACTCTTAAACTTTCAACAATAAAAATTATTTAGAAAAATTATTTAAACTCCGTATATATATATTTTTTATTATTTATATACACTTTTTTTATTATTTATATTATTTATTATTTACATTAACTCTTGAATTTTCAATAATAAAAATGATATAGAAAAATTATTTAAATTCGGTATATACATTTTTTTTTTACTATTTATATATATTTTTTTTATTATTTATGAAGTAATTAATTCAAATAAAAATATTGAGATTAATAAAAGCATAATTTGATTTTATTTGTTACTCTATTACTTGTTTTACTGTTATATGGAATTAAATAAAATGTAAAAATAGAAAAGAAAACTCAAAAAAACAAATATTATTAATTTATTAATATACTACATAAAAGACAGAATTCAGAATTTAAAAAATTTGCTTACTTATTTTTTATCGTATATTCTTTTTCGAAAAAGCAGAACAATTAGAACAACATACATATAAAAAGTAATGTAATAATTTTTATTATATACATTTATTATATAATTTATTATATGATATATTATATGATAAAACATGATCTATTTATAAATATGATTCATCTATAATAATGTAATATCTATTTATTAATAATAAAAATTTTATATTAAAAATACTTTAAGAAATATAAAAAATTAAAAAATAAGAAATCTCATTTACGAATAGCAGTTTTTCTTTCAGATTACAGATACTCATATTTCAACTAAATCTCAAAACTGGTCATCTTATTCGAAGAATGATTTCAACAAACAACTTTAATCTCGCCAAAATTTTATAAAAAATATTTCTGAAAAGTTTTAAACCTAAATCATGTTGCCTTTGTCAAACTTTCTCCAAAAGAAGTCAGATTCTACGAACGGAACCACTATTTTTAAAACGCCAACGAATATCAGAATCTCAACCAACGAATCAACCATATTACCCTCGTCGAGGCTTCTCCACGAGGAGTTATCAGATCCTATAAACGGTACCACTACGTCTAAGACTCTAACCAATACCAGAACCTCGACGAACGAATCAACTACGTTACCCTCGACCATCGTCGACGAAGTCGTGAGGAACGATGACGATCCCCCGCCTTACAGCCCGATCGCGCCTCCGAATCACGTCGGCTGGTCGTTCGACTTTTCGGGAAATCGGTATTCCGCGTACAACGCTACAACCTATACAACGGCTCCATTGGCCCCGTTCCAAACAAGCCTAACTTCGCCTGGCTTCGGTTTCCATACCGAGAGAGCGGAGGAACATGCATCGATTTCGATGCCTTTAATGCCTTGCAGGCTATTTATGTTCGGTTCTCGGAGATCTCTGTTTCCACACGATGGTCCGACGTTTACGGATAACATCTCGGTTAATAAGGAGAATAACCATGAAAGAACACATAGTGAGTATACATATATATGTGTATCGGAAATATATATAAAATATTTATTTTAATCTATCCACGCAATTATCTTCTAAATTATGCATTATTCAAACAAATGTTTCATTTGTTGTGTTTCAAAAGGAATATTTTATGACGATTATCAAATTTATCTAGATGAAGAAGTTTTCGAAGTTTTCGTTATCCAAAACAAATTGATTGATTAATTATATTAGTTAATTAAAGTAATACATAATTTATGAGATAATTGCATGGATAACTTAAATCTTGTATACTAATTCGTAACTCGTAGATATGACTCGTAAAAATAGTCGAGAGTTAATTATTTTTATTTATGATTTATATATAATATAAAAAATGAAACAAATACAAAAGTTGATTTTCAAGACTATTCGTTGAAGCTTATTTTTATAATTGATTATAATTAGACAGAAGACTCTTTATCTAGTGTAAAATTAAATTATTTATAATTTGAAAAACTTCAACGAATATTAATTTTTTATTTTACTTAATACTTTTATAGAATCATCCTGTAAATTTTCTACCTAGTACGAATATTTTATATAGAAAGTTTTTAATGAAATTAAATTATCATATCTCGTTTATTTCAATATAGCTAACATGCAAATAAATAAAAATATACGACAAATAATGGAAAAATATTAAAAATTCATTCTATGATTATATTAAATATTTTATATTTGCTACAATAAGTTTTCAATATTCCTTTTTAATTTTTGCTTAATTTTAATTTTAATTTACTTTTAAAAATAAAACATTATATCTAAATCTAAAATATTATATGAATATATAAATATATCTTTTTTATAAGGTATAAATGTGCAATCTTATGAAAATTGAGTTAAATAATGAGATAATTATTAAAATTAAAATTTTTTACAATTTGATTTCATTATAAAAGATCAATATTATAAAACAAATAAATGATATTATTCAAATAAGAATATTTTCTATCATAAAAAGATACATTTCATTTTATTATTAAGAAGATTCAAACTATTGTAAACGTCACACAAATATCTATGAAATATCATATACTTATTTTCAATCAATTTTTTTTAAATTTTATTCTATTCATGATTATTTGTTAAATAATATTTTTTTTATAGAATGACAATAATTAAATACATGATTCAGAAATATGATAATTATTTTTAATTATATTGAAAAATTATAGCCTTATTTTTTTTATATATTATATTTTATATACTATAATTTGCAATTCTGTAATTAAAGTTTCATACTTGAAATTGTTTCGCAACAACAGGGAATAAATTCGTTTGAATGCAAAATGAAAAGTCCGACTCTACTGCAAATTTTTCTATCGTTTGAAGTATGCATGTTGCGAGTAACGAGATCTTTAATGGTACTCCGTTTCCACTGTGCATAATTCGACTTGCTGAAGATTCATTAGCATTAATTTTTTATTGTAATTGTTAAATGTAATGCAGCAAAATGCGCATAGTTTGCTTTTATAGTATAACATCATCTTTACATCACTCCTTATTTTTCTTTTTTCTTTCCCATTTTTTTGTGAAAAACCATGGTCATTTCATCGTTACCTGCTTATTTCAACGCAAAATTAAATTTGTTTTTCAAACTTAGCCGACACATAAATATCATTTTTACCAAGAACAAAAATGAAAATAAAGAATAAAAGTTAGCACACTCACTTGATGTGATTGACTTGATTTGAAATGCAAATTTTTCCTGTTTTTTATTACTGTTTTTACATTTTTGCAAAAAAAAAAAGATTTTCTCTCATAATCAAAACATTACAACAAACCATTTCATTTTACTTTCATCATTTTATTTACTTAATTATGAATAAACAATTGGTTTTTTTTCAGGATATGGCGCCATTTTAATTGGAGCGGCTGTCATTATTTTTCTTATGGTCCTTTCATTACTCGTGAGATTAATCATGGATAAAAATCTTTGGCGAAGTTAGCTAAGATCATGAAATGTCGGCAATATGTGGTATGCAGATTTCATTCATTCTCAATCTAGACTGAATCTAGAGTAACTTTATCATAGCATAATTTCTCTTGCGTTGATGTAATAACGAGTATAATTAGAGCATGGTCGTCGTGCAGGAAGACTGGAATTTCGAATTTCTTACATCATGTATGTTCTAGCTAATTTTGTTCATTAATCATTTGTGTGCTTTGGCAGAAGTATTTAATTGCCTTTATCAATTTATTGCCAATAATTTTATAATTCAAAATATATAAATCTATTTATATTAGGTATGTTTTTGTAACAGTTCCTTTATGACAGATTAAAAGAAATAAAATATATTGTATATAAAGTAAAAGAAATAGAAAAAATCAGGAGTGAAAAATATTCAAATTATTTAAAAATTATTTTTATTTTTTAATACATTTAATACGTGTGACGTGTATATATGTGTTACGGAAAATTTCTTCACAGCAGATAACACAAAGCCATATCGTGGATTTTCTTCAAAAAATGAAGAAAACGGAAAAAGTTTATTTAGATTTTATTTCGTGCAATATGAGTATTGTTGCCATTGTATATAGTTGTTTTACTTTATGCATTTTTCATTGTTTTAATTTTTGTAAAAAATTCATCATTAGGCTTTCGGTTTTTGACAACGTATTGAAGTATATTATAGAATAGATATTACTATCTTGTATTTCAATTTTTAATTGCTACAATTGAAAAATAGATACATTAATTTTTTGGCGAAATTCTGAAATATAATAATAACAAGTAAAAATATAAAATTGTAAATTACAATTATAAATTTAATTGTATCTTGAGACTTTTGATTTAGCATTAAATTAGAAAATAATGATTGAGACTTCTCACAATAACAGTTAAGTGTATTATTATATTCTAACGCAATGTTTGTTCGTATTTCGAAAAGTATCATTTAAATCTTTAAGTAGCATTTAAATCTTTTTAAGATTTTAATGTTATTTTTTTCATTATTTTAAAAGATTAAGAGAGAGAAATTTTTTATATTTTTTTTTATTATCTTATATCAATATATTATTACATATTTTGTAATTCAAATTTAATACATTGAAATCATAAAGCGATATAAATTATATACGTCATAAGTGAGTGTAAATAATCGTTTTGAAATATTTATAAAAATTATAAATTATAAATTTTTTTTATAAATATTATTTTTTATAAATACTATTAAATTTGATTTATTTTGTAATATTCAATTTATTGGAAATTTTATAATATTTATTATTATATTGCAAAATAGAAAAATTTCAAAAAATATCTTGTTTTTTCTTTTTGTTATCTGAATAAATATATATTAAAACAACATAAAAAAGAAACAAAAAAAAAATTTTTTTTTGAAATATATTTTTATCAATAATAATAATTGTTCACAAGATTTAAGGAAAATAAAATAATTGCATTTTGCATTTAGATATAATATATTATTTATATGCATATGAGAGAGAAAATAAATCTTATACCGTCTCATAAAAATAGAAAAATAGATTAAATTTGTAGATTCAATAGATTTCGTTCATAAAACAAATCGATGGTCAAATTAAAAGAACAAATATTTGCTTGTTGACTTTCAGTCGTTAATATTCTAACTGCGCACGTTTGTATGATCATGTTTTATATATATACGTTTAACATTGTTTGAAGTCCATTTTCACTTAAAATGGTAAAAAAAATATTGGCAATTAATATATTTATTTGAATATAAGAACAAAATTTTTCGAAAATCTTGAATTTAAATATATATAATTAAATATTTTAATAGAATAAATTGTTAAATGAGATTTTTAAATATCTGAGATTGCAATAAAATAATAACATAATTTTTTGAGATAAATATTTTTTACAAAGGAAAGAATTATTAACAATATATGTAGCAACATGATGAGTAGTTTCTGAAACATTATTTAACATTATTTACATTATTTAAATTAATATAATTTTGAAAGCAATAAATATATTTTTTATGTTATTAATAATGGATAATTAATAAATTTGACAATATTTGACAATAGAAAAATCTTAAGATTGCATCATTGGTATTTCTTCAAGATCAGTAATACTGTTATATTGATGGTTAAAAATCAGTAATACTGTTATATTGATGATACAAGATCGTATAAGTATTTCTAATCGCATCATTAATAATAATCAAAGTATATATTATTATATTATATTATATATATATATATATATAAAATAATTCAAAATCATGTTAAAGAAAATCAAGATTATTTTCAAATTATCAGACTATTATATTGACGTATAAGATTATTTGCAGAATATTATTTCAAGAAAGAATATTGATCAATCAATAAATGATATTATTATATATTACATTACATTAAAATTACCAACGTTGCAACACTAGTTCATCAAGATTATTTTAAAATTAGACGAATATTTTTTCACAAAGATGAAGATTTAACTATTACTATTTCATCATTATCAAGATTATTTGAAAATCATTTAAGATTATAAATGCAATTAGATTTATATAAAAGTCATAATATAAACATTATCGAAATTATTGGAATTTAAAATCATTTGAAAATATTAACATCAATTAGAAATAATAATATTCATAACGTTCTTTTATAAGGTAAGTTCCAAGAATCATAATTATGGATATACGTCAACATTAAGTGATTATAATTCAAATATAAAATCACATGTCCCAATACAAATAAGCATAAACAACACATAATAATTCTATTTTTTTCGTTAATATTACCAGTATCAAATGATGATTCGCTGTATCGTCATTACTTTGGTCAACGAGATCACAATCGTACATGATATTATAACTTTAATCATGATTAACAGTTTTATATAACGATTGTCAAGCCTAACTCTGATAAAGTCAGTTTGACGGGGGACGTGTTCAAACAGCCCCTCAGGCCAGCGTCCAAGTGATGCGCCACCGGGGAAATTAGCCGGCAAAATAATTCATGGACGAAGCTTTTATTTGACGTCCACGCGGAATCCCTGATATTTCGAGGGATGGAACCGTTCCGTTCGCGTAAATAAATGCGTTGCAAAATTGTTGATTCGCGCTAAGTACCCTCTAGAGCCTTTATCGTTTCGCGAACGGCCACGAAGTTAACGCGGGAATTATTGTCCGTTGCCGAGTGCATCATTTCAACAAACTGACGACGATAATGGACGTGACTACGTTGAAATTATTTCACTTCTATATCTCTTCTTTTTCACATCTGTTTTTCGTTTTATTTTTTTAAAGAGTAAAAGTATAATTTAAAATATAAATATAATTTTAAAACGCATGATAAAAATAATAACATAGAAACTTAATTTGTTCTTCAAGAATTCGTATATTAATTGATTTAAATTTGATTTCCTTAATCGTGATATGATTTTTTTTTTATGATGATTTATCTTTTATCTTTTATATTATATCTTTTATATAAAAACTTCAAATAAAAAATAAAATTTTTAATTTGAAATTTGAATTTTATAATTATAAATTTACATCTTTATTTTGAAATGTGCATTTTTTCACTAAAAAGTTTTAATGTAGGCAATATGAAATTCTGACTTTGTATGTACAATTTATCAGATTTCTCGTGTTTTTATGTTGCCGTTTATATCATTTGATATTCATATTTGTATATTTTATGTATATCTTATTCTTTATATCACTTGATATTCATACTTATGTATATTTCATTTAGTTTTTAATCATTATAGTCTGTACAGTTGTTAAATCATGTTATTTTGCAATCATAATAACTCTAATAAGAATACATTTCCCTCAAGTATGCAATAGTTCAATTGAAAAATTGCAGTAGAAGTGTATTATTGCAAATATCGATTGCAATAGATATATTTTTAAAAAATTATAAAAGTAAAAATAATTTAAGAAAATTTTCAGCAAAAAAAAAGATATTAACAATCAATCATATAAAATAAAAATATCTAATTATGAAT